TCCTGAGACCTAAGCACAACAATACCTATTACCCTAACTGCTCAGGAGACTGAGATCTGAGGATGGTGGTTCAAAGCCAGGCCAGGCAGGAAAGTCTGTGAGACTCTTATCTCCAATGAATCACCAAAAAGTCAGATGTGGAGCTGTGGCTCAAGTGGTAGAGCACCAGCCTTGAGTGAAAAAGCTCAGAGAGAGTGCACAGGCCCTGAGTTCAAGCCCCAGAACTGATACAAAAACAAATAAACAGAATCATTAAAGGCTGGACTTAGTGATTTTATTCTTGGTTCTGATATATGTGTGCATGTATTCATAGGTGCATATTTATGCACATATGTATTGTGTATGTAATATATAATACATATATGTATGTGTATATGTGTGTATAAGAGATAACGTAAATGGTCTATCTATGTGTATATACATAATGTGTGTGTGTGTGAGCCACTTTACCTGGCCTCTGATTACTGATTATTAATGGAGCCTCGCTGTTGGCCACACCTGTTCTGAGCAGGTTGGGGACATTGAATCACAGGGCCACCCCACCTTCATGGCCAGTTTCCTGTGGAGTGCTTCCCATCCTCCATGCTGACATTGAACAAGTCCCGGCCAGGGGGCAGCCCTGGACCGACCCCCTCCAGCCTGACACCTCTTCCAGGTACCACTTGCAGCGGGCTCCTGAGTAGACAGTAGCCTCTCAGAAGAGCTCAGCCCCTGAGAGCCACACATGGGGACAAAGTCTCCCTGTGGCTGGAGTCTTTCAGAGGAGAAGTCTCTTGGAGGAGAAAGTCTCCTCTAAGCTTATCCATATCTCATGTCTTGGGACAGAAAAAAAAACAACAACACAAAACCAGAAATAAAGGGCAATGGTTCCGACCGTAAACTAGGAGCAGCAACGCTGCTTTCAGAGCATGCGGGGAGCTGAGTCTGTCACAGCCACTCACTCCCATTCCCAGCCAGGCCCGAAGTTGCTGCCCAGCCCTGCAGCTCCACTCCAGGGTCTGCTTGGACTTCCACAGACCTCCCTGCCTGGCATGGGCCTGGAGGAAGGCCGGACAAGGCAATAGAGATGTGAGCGGCCAGTCCTGGACCCCAGGGCAGGAAAAGAAGCAGGTGAACACAAGAGCGCTGTGTGTACTGCAAAGCCATCTTGGAGATGGGATCTGGGATAAATTCTGCCCTCTGCTGCCTGGAGGGAGATTTGGGCTGTAAACATCATGGTCTCTCTGGATTTCATGCTCAGCATTTGCTTTTGTAAAACAGAACAAACCGACAGCAGCCAGACTGCTTGGCACAGCAGCTACTGTTCAGCTCTCCACAGTGGGAAAGGACGTCTGGAACCTAAGATTCTTCAATGTGATCGCAGATGATAGCTAGAAAGAGTCTGGGTGTGACTTTGGAAAAAGACTGCTCCTTTGAATACCAAAACCTTGATACTCCACTAATGCAATTTTTTTTTTTAAAGAACAAAGTGGGAAAGCTCAGGTGCACTTCTTATTTTTATTAGGTGTATCTTTAATATATTTTTGAACCAAATAACAGGATAACTTATTTGTCACTTGTATTGATTCATGATCCTTGATGGTTTTTGAGGCTCTGTCTAGGATAAAGTGGCTTTGGAGAATGGGGAAAGAAAATGGAGTGAATGCTAATGAGGTTTTCTCTACTTTACCTATCCTACGAAAAATGGCCAGGAATTAGCACAGGAGCTAATGTCAAGGTGCTCCCTTCCTTTGAGAGAGGAAGTTAGCTTCACTTAATCTCTGTCCAGAGCAACCTGGTCCCACTGAAGGAGGATCTGAACAGGAACTGGCTGCAACCTCGGAAGGAGGCCGAGCCCCGGAGGAGGCAGCCTGGGCACAGCACACACCTGTCTGCAGGGAAGCCAACAGCCATGGCTGGGTCTCACATGTGTGTGTGCAGGTGGCCTGGGAATGGCATGGGCACGGCCTGCTACATCATCATTAAAGAGGCATTTGGAGCGTCTTAACAACTATGTGAGAGATAAATATCTCCACTGGCTCTTAAACCTTAATTAAATGTTTTAGTATTAATTGCTATTTATTTAAGGGACAATAAGTACCCTAGTAAATCTGAGGGATCTTTCTCTCTCTCTCTCTGACTCTTCCAGCTTGATGTTCATGTCCAGGCATTAATTACTAGAATCAGAGGATTCATGAATCCAAACGCCCTCACTTCAGTGAGTGAAAAATAGTCTGTCGGACACACAGCAACGGAATCTTTAAGCATCTATCACAGACTAACGAGGCTGTTTGCACAGCCCTCCTGGTCCGGTCTGTGCCACGGAAAACCACCAGGTGTAAACCATGACTCTGTGTCAACAAATGTGGTGGCTGAGCTCAGCCATCTAAGCATATCTCCATGGCCCCTGGCTCTCCCAGCTGCCCAGTGGCTTTGTAAGGCCCCCAGGGAGGGACCCTCAAGCTGTCTGTGTCCAGAGACATCCCCTCAGGTACACAGGGCGTGCTCAGAAATAACAGGGTTGACAAGTGGGGTCCCACCTATGGGGTACCTACATCTCATGCTCCTGCCCAGAGAAGTGGGGGGGCTGGGAGAACCCAATAATACCGTGGAGTCTTCAGTACACAGTGGAGAAGGGATCCAAGAATCTAGCAAATGAGATGGAGGGAGAGAGGTGGTTCCTGAGATTTGGAAACAAATAATCGGAGGCATTTGTAGAAGTTCGTTCTTGTGGCTTCCTGCTCTCATGCACAAGGGTCCAGGGCTCAAGCCTGCGGGCACTGTAAAGCTGGCCCCTGTCCAGCAGAGGAGGCTGCCTGGCCCTGAGAAGCCTGTGTACTTGGAGATCTTGTGTCCCTCAGCTGTCCGCTACGCGGCAGGGTCTGCAGCAAGGCTAGGCACCCGGGGGCAGTCTAGCCCCATCGCTGACAATCTGACTGCCCTGAACACATCATTTCCCTTCCCCTTCCCCTGGCTTCCATCCGATCCCCCCCCCCCACCCCTGTGGGATTGTTGTGGGGACTAAGCAAGCTCTGCCTTGGACCGAGTGGCCTCTGTCAGAGGCCGCCTGAAGCTGATGACGAGTGGCCCCCATTCTGTGGGTCCTCAACCAGGGGATGGGGGCAGAGAGGAAGTAGAGGCTGTCACAGACCCGCCATCTCCAGGCCAGAGAACGTTGTTTTCGTACTTTTTAGCACTGGGGATTGAACTCAGAGCCCTGTGCATATTAGGCAAGCACTCTCCCACTTCACTTATGCCTTCATCATCTTTTGTTTTGCTTTAGTTTGTTTTTTTTTGTGCAGGGTCTCATGCTTTTGCCTGGAGCTTGGCCTGGGACATGATCTTTCTGCCTCCACCTCCGGCAGGACTGGCTTACAAGCATGCACCACTATGCCGAGCCTTTAATGCACTTTCTGAGTTAGAACCACCCACCATGGGCACCTACTGAGCATCTCCAAGCTGGTCCTGGGAGCCCACTGCTAATCAGCACGCTCCTATGATGAGTTTGACTGCAATGCCAAAGTGGCCAGCCACTGTTTTACCAGAGCCTCTGTTCTGAGAATGCACCACACTTCTGCCTGCCACCCAGAGGCTGGGCAGACTCCCCTGCTGGCCACAGAGACCTCTGACAAACATCACACGCCCTTGCCCACTGGTGGAACATTCTGTCTTCAGGACAGGGAGTAAGGCTGGAAACCCAAAGTGGAGGGAACTTATAACTCATTAGCTCTGGGATCGAGAGCTGACCAACACAATACTGGACTGAATGTAGCTGCCCCCTGGCCAGCTGAGTGCTGCGGACTGAGTCCCCTACAACTTCCCAGTCTTCTCTCCCTCTGTCCACAGGAATTCCCACTCAGCTCTGTGTGGACGGTGAAGAGGAGGAGGAAGAGCACTTTTTGGAGGAGAGGTCCCTCCCTGATGCCCCCCAAAGGGCTTGGAGGCCTGGGATGGGAGGATTGCAGGGTGAGCTCATTCTGGGGTGGCACAGGAGAAAAACGAGGGTGTCTAGCATGCTTGATATCACCCCCAAAACAAACATGAAAATCCTGGCTGTTCCCCAAGTCTGGGCACGTACAGGGCATGGGGTCACCAGCCCTGGGTGAGGTGCAGCCTGGCATCACATCCTGAGATTCGGCACCAGAGAAGCCATTTAACGTTTGCATCCACATTAATATCACTGAAAGCAAACCAAATGTTCCCAGGCAGTAGAGCGTGGAAAATTCATCCTGTTTGGGTGTCGGTCCCTGGCTTCAAATTAGTAGATGTCTCCACTTTCTTTCTTTATCATGTTCTTTCTTATCTCTCATTTTTATATTTCAAAATTGTATTTGAATTCTGCTCCTTGTCCTCCCTGAGGCCGGGGGGGGGGGGGTGCCAACCCCGCTCACAGAGCTGCAGTCCCAATGTCTTCCTGCTGCGAAGGAGCTGTGACCAGCTGCTTCCAGGGGTGATGCTCCTGCCCCAGGGGCCCACGCCAGGCAGCCACCTCGGGAATGGCACAAAGTGGACAGCCAGACAGTCCTGAAGCCCCACTAGGGATCAGGGGAGCTGCCGCCTCCTCCTCCCCCTTCTCCCCCTCCTCTTCCTCCTCCCCCTCCCCCTCTTGCTCCCCCTCCTCTCCTCCTCCTCCTCCTCCCCCTCCCTCTCTTCCTCCCTCTCCTCCTCCCCTTCCTCTTCCTCCTCCCCCTCCCCCTCCTGCTCCCCCTCCTCTCCTCCTCCTCCTCCCCCTCCCTCTCCTCCTCCCTCTCCTCCTCCCCCTCCTCTTCCTTCTCCCCCTTCCCCTCCTGGCTCCCCCTCCTCCCCCTCCTGTTCCTCCTCCCTCTCCTGCTCCCCCTCTTCTACTCCTCCTCCTCCTTCTCTTCCATCAGAGCACTTCAGAGAGCTGCCATCCAGCCTCCCCATACATCCTTAAAAGCGATCCTTCAAAACATGTCCCACTTGGAGAAAGACCCTCAACAGCACCCCCCACCCCCCACCCCTGCCAAGTAAAGACAGGAGGAGTGGAGCAGCATGCTTACCATGAAATAGACACATGGCGTCTGCCCTGCCCCCAGGAGGTAAAAAAGCCTTCGGCCAGTCAGCAGGAGATTTCGAACCATTTCTCAGACACAAAGGCCACAGGGATGAGATGCCGATCCGCAGAGGAAGATCTGCAGAGGGAGAGAGCACAGGATGGGGTCACAGGGTCTGTAGAGCACAGGAGAGGGGCAGGCAGCGCCGGCCTGCAGGGGGAGACGCGTCAGGATGCTGTCTGGAGACCTGCCAGCATTCCCAGGAGGGGACCCCCAGGCCCGACTGGGGAGCCAGGCTCACACCTGAGGATGCAGGCCTGGCACTCAGATGAAGGAACGCTAAGACTTGTACCTGCTACCCCTTGCTTGTGCCAGCACCATGATGTGGGTTTTGGAATTTGCAGGACAAGCACTGAGCTCAGGGTATACTTACAAATACAATAACATACATACTGTAATAGAATACGACATAATATATAATCCCCTGGTGGCCGAGATGTGATATTCTTTATTGCCCATGACAGAGAGGACAAGGCCTGGCTTTTAAGGTGGAACCCTCCCACTTTGTCACCTATGAGGCTAAGCTACCCTGTCCCCAGGCCAGCGAGCTGCAACAGAGCAGAACTTTGGGCCCCCCTGTAGACACCCCTCCATTCTCGGCCTTTGTGCCAGGACACCAGGGCTCGGGTGGGGCCGACCATGTGCTTATCAGGCTCCTCAGCACAGCGCAGAAAGCAAGGGGGGCAAAGCAAAGGAAGAAAGGCAGCCTGCAGCCCCTTCCCTGAGCACCCGCGTTCTCCCAGGGCCACCCAAGCCCTAATCAGACAGCCATGGGTCCCGCCCACCCACACAACCTTGTGGTTGTCGGCTCTTCATGAACTTGGCCTCTGGGAGATGGGGCTGCTCTTACAGAGCTCCCCAAATATCTAAGAGGAGAACCAAAGGCCGAGAAAAGGGGCTCTGTGGTGTCTGGGCTGGGAGGGCCCTCCTAGAAGGAAGGAGGCACCCAGGAGAGAACACTGGAGAATCCTGCATGGGACGAGTACTCCACTCCCTTGCTGTACAAGGATGCAGTACCAATGGCTCCATGCTGTCCCCTGCATACCTGGGCTGCTGAGCTTCTGCCTTCAGACCCCTGAGGATCACGGAAGAACACGAAAGTCCTGACTGCAAGTCAAGATGCCTGGGGTTCTTGGTCCCTGGGGACTGTCTGAAGTGGCCTCACACCCTGTGGCTCAGGGGTGTTTCGGGGGGCCTGGTGTCACCCCACCAGCTCCTGTGGCTCAGGGGTGCTTCGGGGGGCCTGGTGTCACCCCCACCAGCTCCTGTTTTTTTTTTTTTCAGTTGTTGGGGATTTCTGTTTTAATTTACAAACTAATGCAGGAGTGCACGCTCACTTAAAGAAATAGCTTATTGATATTTTAATTTAGTTCTGGACAAACCTTCAGAAGCTGACTCAGGGTTTTGTAAATATTGCCAGCGATGGCTGGAGAAATACGTCTTCTTTGCGAGATCGTACATGAATAATAAAAGAAAGCATTTAATAAGAGATGACTGCTCCTGGAGTCTGGATGCTGTTTGATTTTCCTCCACGCTCACTGCTGACATTTTATTGATGGGGGTGGGGGAGAGAGGTCTCAAAGACTCGGACTCCAGGAGGGACCAATGGTCATTTGTTGATCTTCAGTGAGGCCAGTGGGCTACATAGCTGGCTTTGAACTCTGAGGCTCAGGGGGAGAAGTCCCAGTGGGGACTGAGGGCTGAGGAAAACCCCTCCCACTCCGCTGCCTGAGTCTGGGGTCTGCCAAGGGAACACAGCTGGGTCCAGGTTCTGCCCCCCCAGCCCTGCCCGCCATACACTTGGGCTACTCATGGCATTGATCAGGCCTGGCCCACCGGGAGCCCGGAGGCTCAGGATCTGTGCTCACCGGTTTCCGTTGAACGTGGACTTGTACTCCCCAGCCGGGTGCAGCGTCTCGTCGGTGTAGACGGGCACAGATGCCCGCACGCACTCGTGCGAGCACTGCAGGGTCTCGTTGTAGGCCGTGAAGATGTCTACACTGCTGGGTACCCGTGCCGGGGTGAAGTCGGTGAGGTTCTGGCAGCTCTCCTCCTGCTGGTTGACCTTCCGCTGGTGGCTGTTTCTCCGAGTGTTCCCACCTTGGGCACAGCTAGGAGACAGGGAGAGGCTGGGGGTGGGGGTGGGGGCAGGTAGGGGCCGAACCCCTCCCCCACCACACACAAGGCTCTGGAGCTTTCCTCCCAGAAGGCTTGGCTTCCAGGCATCCACCATAACTGTTTCCTATCAGATAGCAATTTCCAGCCTCTTCAGAAAGACCAACCACAATCAAGCAATCAAATCTTTTTTTTTGGGGGGGGTGGGGGAAGGAAATAAATACATATATAAACTAGCTAAAACAAAATTTAAAATTTAAATGTGGCTATGAACTGCCAGGAGGGTCGTGGGGGTAAGCAGATGCATGAAGAGCGTCAGCTGGGGGGGGGAGGTACTGACTCAGTTTCCCTGCCGATGTCTCAGTAGGATGAAGACAGCCTTGGTAAGAGGGGGCCTGGGTAGCGGGGAGTCCCAGGGGGACCGGTCCGAGCGGCTGCTCCTTCATGGTGAGGTGCCACAGGACCTTCTCTGGGGAGCTTTGGGCAGTGGTGACACCTCCCCCTCCCCCCTCCCCGCCTCTGGAGAACGATCACAGGAAGGAAACGGTGCGGCTTGTCCTCCAGCCCTGAGGGGGCATCCAGGGGGCTGTCCCGTGTCCCCAGGCGGCCACAGCGGATGACCACCCTTGTGTGTGGGGTTGGACAAGAGGCCCCGTGGAACCCCGGGGGCACTCAGACGACGAGCTCACAGAGGGGAATCTGGGAGAGCTCCCCTGCAGTGTGGGGGTGCCCCCTCACCAGAAACCATACACCCCCTTCCTCCGGCGCCTGTCCAGGCTCCTGGGGGTCTCCCTCCCTCCTGCCTCTGTTTCCCCTTGGTGGGGAGAGAGTCTTGCAGGGGATCACACCCTCCCGTGAAGGACACTGCTCCAGGGCTGAAGCCCCACACAGAGGAGGAGGAGGTCATGAACAGCATTTGGCCACCTGCTGCTAGCCTGCTGCACCTCCAGCACACCGGATGCCCAGGGGAAGGGTTGGCCCCCAGCTGCCTCTGAGTCTGTGTCAGGCCTCAGACTCCTCTGCAGAGAGGGTCTCTCTGTTCTGACAGGGACCATGGAGACGGTCCTGCCATGCCTCTGGGAGCCCCTTCCCTGGCCAGTCCCTGCCTGAGAAGGCCTCGTTCCCCACCGCTAGCAAACCAGGGCCAGGGGTCAGGAGGCATCTTGGGACCCGGCCAGGGGGAAGGGCATGGCCTGGGTGGGGTCCTGCCATCTCCATCCTCATGCCACCTGTCATGGGGTTCCACGGTGGTGAGTCCTTTCCCGAGGCTCAGCCCCGCCTCCCTCAGGCCTGTCTTCCTGTCACCCCACAGCAGCAGGGGACCCCTGGGAGTGGTGATACACCAGGGGAGAGGCGGGTGCCACAGGAGCAGCGGCGCCCAGCTGCTCCCTCCCTGGCTTTCTCTGGGTGGGAGTGTCAGGTGTGTGGCACTGAGGGCTGGCCTCAAAGGAGGCCACTTCCCAGGAGCAGCCAGGGGAGGTGAGCTGCCCACAGCAAGGCTGCAACCTAGATCAGACACAGAGTGACTAGGAGAGGAAGGGAGGGAGGGAGAAAGGGAGGGAGGGAGGGAGGGAGGGAGGGAGGGAAGGAGGGAAGAAGGGAGGGAGGGAGGGAGGGAGGGAGGGATGGAGGAATGAGGGAAGGAGGGAAGGAGGAAGGAAGAAAGTAGGGAAGGGAGGAAGGAAGGAAGGAAGGGAGGAAGGAAGGAAGGAAGGGAGGAAAGAAGGAGGGAGGGAGGGAAGTGATAAAGGAGGGAAGGAGGGAGGAAGAAAGGAGGGAAGGGAGGAAGGAAGGAGGGAGGGAAGGAAGGAAGGAAGGAAGGAAGGGAGGGAGGGAGGGAGGGAGGGTGGGAGGGAGGGAGGGAGGGAGGGTCAGGCTAGGCTGGCCAGGCCCCGCCCCTTCGACCATGGGGAGGGTTGGGCACCAAGTGTGGACCCCACAGGGAGGGGCTCAGGGAGCCACCCAGGGATTATGCATCCGGAGATAATCCTGGGCCCAGCGAAGGTCAGGCAAGAGGAGCAGCCTGAGGCGCTATGGCAGAGAAGCTGGGGAAGGCCAGGGCCAGCCACAGCTGACGGCAGCCAAAGGGCCCAGGGCTGGGGCTGCCTGGGTCTCTATCCAAATGGGAAAAGCCACTCAGAGGGCTGCGATCCCAGCCCAGGCTTGCAGAGTTGGGGTGCCTGTGCACAGCCTCCCCAGGGATCCCACCGCCCCCATTTCCAAGCCTTACCAATTTTTTAAGACAAGAGTAGTGATGAGCGCAGCGATGACCATGATGAGGGAGACGGTGATGGTGATGATCTGATGCACAGCCAGACCTGCAGAGGAGGGGACAGGGTCAGGGCTGCGGCTGCCACCACCGGCCGGGCACGGGCAGCCCATGCCCCTTCACACCTGCTGGCAGGAGCCGTGGGCACAGAGACCATCCTCTCCCGGGAAGGAAGGAGGAAGGAAGGAGGGAAGGAAGGAAGGAAGGAAGGAAGGAAGGAAGGAAGGAAGGAAGGAAGGAAGGAAGGAAGGAAGGAAGGAAGGAGGGAGGGAGGGAAGGAAGGAAGGAAGGAAGGAAGGAAGGAAGGAGGGAAGGAAGGAAGGAAGGAAGGAAGGAAGGAGGGAAGGAAGGAAGGAGGGAAGGAAGGAAGGAAGGAAGGAAGGAGGGAAGGAAGGAAGGAAGGAAGGGAGGAAGGAAGGAAGGAAGGAGGGAAGAGGAAGAAGGGGAAGGGAGGGAAGGAAGGCAGGCAGTAAGAAAAGTTAAGAGGGAGGGAAGGAAGGAGGAAAGCAAAGAGGGAGGAAAGAAGGGAGGGAGGAAAGGAGTAAAGGAGGGAGGGAGGAAGAGAGGGAGGGTGGGAAGAAGGGAGGGAGAGAGGAAGGAAAGAAGGAAGGAAGAGAGGAGGGAGGGTAGAAAGGAAGGAGGGAGGGAGGGAAGCAGGCAGGCTCCAAGTGCCAGTCTCTCTCAGGCCTTAAGCCCTGACATGGTCCAAGGGCAGGTGAACCTGCCAGGGCTTTCCTGCTGCCTTCACCTGGCTTCAGGAAATCTCTGCTGAGGACCCGCCACCTCTTCCTCCCTCCCTTTGCTCTGGAGTCATGACCCTGGAGGGCGAGACATTGGCCTAAGGGTTGGGCCCAGGGTTTCTTAGGGGAAGGCAGATCCACCGCCTGGCAGCCTCTGGGGCACTGGTGGCTTCTGCCTCTCTCCAGAGTCCTCCTCGGGAGCTTCATTTCCCACTGAGTTTCCAGGAATGAAGGACCCGGGCCCAGGGCAGGAGCTCCTTTGGGGAGGAGCGGCCCTTCGGCCTCTCTTCCCTGGCCTTCTCCCTGGCATGGGGCAGAAACGGCAGGGCCAGCAGCGTGGGCAGGGCAGGCCGAGAAGGGTAGGCTGACTCCACAGCATAGCGGCCAGTCTGACCAGCCGAGGGGCAGGAACGCGCTCTCATCTGCTTCCAGCCAAAGATGGAGGTTGAAGGAGGAAGACAGGCTTCTAGCAGCCCCTGCCTCTGGTCCCCACCCTGACCACATTCCTTCCTGACCACATCTGTCACATTCTTTCTGGGACCTGGGATCTAGGGCCAGCCCTGGCTGGCGTCATCGCCCTGGCTCCATCCCGCTAGTGGAGAACCGAACCCCAGCAGCGGAGGACCGAGCGACAGAGCTGCAGGGAGATGTCCCTGCTTCCCCCCCCCCCCGCCCCCGGGGATGAGCTACCAGGAGCTTGAGACCCGGGGGTGCTAGACCCATCTCCCTACCCCAGATCCCCAATCCCAACGTCAGGCAGCAGAGATCTGCCCAGCACACCTGAGACCTGGGTTCTGCTGAGGCGAGGGCGGCAGCTGGGAGCATCCCTGGCCGTCTCCACAGCAGATGTTACCTCTCTGCTGAGCACAGTCCTCGTGGAGGAATCTCTGGTAATGATTCAAAGCTGTCAGGAGCTGAACATCCGCTTTGCCTCCCCACTGCTTCCTCTTTGGGGGCGACTGCCATTTGTCACAAGGGATTCCCACCCTGAACTGCGGGGCGGTAGAGCATTGCTAGGAAACAGTGTCGTGGCCACCTGCCAGCCATCTTCCATCCACTGATTCAAGATCCACCCCGTACATGCCACACTTCGCCCATGGTGGCCCCCCCGGGGTTGGTCCCCAACCCTGGGAGCAACCTCAGGGCACAGCCGCTGTGGGGCTTTGTTTTGAAACTTCACCACTCACAGTGAGCTTGGCCAGTGTGGCCTTGCTTCTGCCCGTGCCTAGCTTGTGACATCTGCGATAAATCACTGCGTGAATTCTCCATCTCCCGGAGACCTGGGGTAGACTTTAAGTCCTCCAAACCAGCCCACCAAGGGGGCCAAAAGCAATTTAAACCACAAAAACCCCTCCCATCCTCACCACCAACAGCACGCCCATCAGCCCTGCCATTTCTTGTTCCTCCACCAAGTTCCCTGAAACCCAACAGGACCTTGTGGGCAGAGGAGGGGTGGAAGAGACATGACGGATGGCCACGGAGACACTAGTACCTGCTCTGTGTCCTCTTCCCCTTCCCCCAGACACACACCCTGAGACCCAGGCAGGAGACAGCTATTCTGTCCTGAAGAGCTGGTGATTAGCCCGGGCCCTGGGATGAGAGGAGGTGATGCGGATGGCGACTACAATGGTGAAAGGGATGTCGTAGGCGTGACGCGGACCGTGCAGGAGGCGGCAGGAATAGCAGAGGTCTTGGTGAGCATCATGACGATGGTGAGCATGGTGGTGGCAGTGGTGATGGTGATGATGGTGGTCGTAATGTTTGTGGCCGAGGTGATCTTGATTAAGTGGTGATATGATGTGGGTGGCGATGCGTGGCTTTTTCCAGGGGCCCCTCAGACATAGTGGATACTCCCTCTCTGTTGACTATACCCAGGCACCAGCAGACCACGGTGATGAGGATGATGACGATGGTAATGGCCATGGTGAATTAGGACGGAGACCGTAAGGGTGGAGGTGGCGGTGGGGACCATGGTGGTGGTGGTGATGACTGGAGATTCTGATGGGGATGGTAAGGGCAGGAGGATGGTGATGAGGGTGGCGGAGGTCAGGAAGATGGTGGTTGTGACGGCCACCCCCTTGCCATCAGCAGAATCCTCATCAGTGCCACCTGGGTCAGCATCCACGCGTCCTAACCCACATCAGCAGCAGCACCACGCCCTGATCATAGTCAGGCACTGCTTCTCACCACCATGGCGAAGAGGATGATGAGGATGAAGCCCACGGCAGGGAGGACACAGGCCTGATGGGGGGCCACAAGGGCCAACAGGTATCCTGTTTACCCCGGACACAGCTCGCAGTGGTGGCAGAAAAACTGTCTGTTTTGTCCTTGGGTCACGGAGGGCCTGGTGATGCCAAAGCTCACACAAATCTGCCGGACTCTGAGCCTGGGCTTGGTTAACTGAGCTGTTGACTTGGCCGGACGGCCTCTTTTGTCCTTCCTTTCAGGTCAAAAGCTGGCTCTTCTCCCCGGTGCAGGTGTGGGAGAGAATAAACTCTCCTGGAGGCAGGCGCTCGTGCCCCATGGCCTTCACTTTGAGGAGGTCTTTTGGAGGAAGCTCTCTGCCCATCTCGGGGCTCCCAGACAGCCATTTCTGGGCATGTTATATACCATATCCCACGGTAAGAACTAGATCTTTGTTTCAGAGGCAAAATGGACCAGCTTCTGGGCCAAGGTAGGAAGAATTAACACCTTCAGGGACAGGTGATATCGAAGAGTAAAGAGAGATAGAGGAGAACCAACAGGCAGATGCCAACAGGACTGGCTCAGCCTGAGAGAGCAGGCCTCTTCTATAGGTCCTAAGAATCCCCCTGCAGGAACTGAGCACTCTGCTCTCTGCTCTGCCAGAGGGGGCCCAGGGTACCACCAGGCTTTGACCTGTCAGTGAGGTCTCTAGGAGCAGGACCCTCGCCCTTTGCCTGAGGTCCGTGGAGTTCCTGAGCCTCATAAAAACGTGCTCCACTCATGATCATCTTTGTATCTACCCAACCCCATGCACGTACTTCCTGACACAGTTTCTATCCTGCTGCAGTAATTGCATGTCACATTGCTAAACTTACAACTGAGAAGTCAAAAATAAGAAGTCAGGGGAACAGGAACAAAGGTGGCAATGCGTGTCTCAGGTTTGATGGCTCTGGGAGGACCCTCCTTCTCCTGCCTTCTTTGTGAATTTTCTCCATTGGATTTCTCCAATTACAATTTAGAGAAGCGATGTGTGGTTAATAACCAGCTACGAGAATCTGGATGACATACAACCATAATAGAGCAGCTGCGCTTTCGTGGGTAGTTTCTTTATGCCGGGCCCCTTGTTAAGCCTCCCCACCTGTGATCTACTCAGTCTGACCTCATCTTGAACTTTCTTCTACCTCTCTGATCAGGAGCCTGATGCTTAAAAGACAAAATGACTTTCTCTTGGTCACCCTGGCAGAGACAGGATAAAAGGCAGTTTTCTGCTCCGCAGATCTTGAGAAAATCAAATGCCTAATCCAAATCCAACAGATCGGCAGCCACATTATGGTCCTAAATTGGTCAGAGACAAATGTCTTTCTACTCCTTGTACACTTTGTTCCAGAAGCAAAGAGCCTTGTGCTTCAAAGCTGGACACATGGGGTTTGTGAGCTATTAGACTTCTGCGTAAGAAGCCAGTGCCTTGAGAAGAACCTACAGACCCTACAGAAATGGCGGCTGGACAAAGACTGAGCCTTTTGACAAGTGGTCCCCATAGTATTTGAAGGAAGCAGTTGGGAAGTGGGAGCTCCAGAAGGAGAACTCGTCATTTCTTCTCTTTGAAAGGCTGGCTACTAGGAAGACAGCAGACCAACAGGTACGAAATTGTGTGGTGTTTAACGCATCTCTGTGATATCTGGTCCTCTGTGATGTAAGTCCTTTATAGGTAGGTGGCTCTTTTCTTACAGAATGAGAGTACAGGAAGAGCCACGTGTGTACTGGTCAACTTTGCATGTCCACAACAGAACACTCCAGCACACAGCCTTACATATGTGGAGGAAAGGTGATCAAGCTCACAGTTCTGGAGGCTGAAGGAAACGGTGCCTACATCAGCTCAGTTCTGACGAGGGCAGGTGGCAAGGGCTGCCTTTTTGCAGATAGAGAGCAGACCGGATGTTGAGTGGGAGCAGGCAAACCACAGGTGCTCAGCCCAGGAGCCACAGACCTTATGCCAAATGCGGCCACATTCCAGCCAAACTCCCTTTGCCAGCACCAATGATGGCCTTCTTTGCCCCACGGACCACAGATGTCAGAGCCCCTGATGAGTCACACAGAATACAGCAGCCAAAGGTGGCTGGGGGTA